CTCTCTCTCTCTCTCTCTCTCTCTCTCTCTCTCTCTCTCTCTCTCTCTCTCTCTCTCGTTCGATATCCCTTCGTCTCGATCTCTCGCTTGTTCACCCTCGTTTTTCGCCTCCCCGATTCTCCGTACAACGCAGTTGCGGCTAACGTGCAAAAGTGCTTCTGCTGCTGGTGCTGGCCGATTCGAATGGATAGAATTATATCATTCTCGTCTAACGAACGAGAAACGACGACGGCACATCGTTTTACCTTCTTTTTCTCTTTCGTTTCCTTGTTTCCCTCTCTTTTTCCTTCTATTCTCTGTCTTCGCTGAACGTGCAAAAGATTTCGCTGACCGGTTTCATGGAACGGAATACTACCATTTTCGCTCCGCTAACAAATGAACTTCGAATGAACGGAAATTATCACTTTTTTCTTGTTTGTTTTTTTTTTTTTTTTATATATATCATCCGTAATTCCTCGTTTATCATCTAATGCATTTAGGATGCACGAAAATATTCCGAACAGCTTATATATAGTATAGAATCAAGAAGCTTTCCTCTTCGAAATTCCCCTTTCGAGGATCGGGAAAATTTGCGATGGGTTTTCTCTTACTCGTTCGTTCGCTTTTCGACCTCTTCTCTTCTCTTTCTCCCCATAGTCGTGCTTAACGTGCAAAAGCGTCTCTGCCGGCCGGCGACGCGGTCGATACTCACGGCGTATCGCCCCCGGTTGACCGAGCCTTACCCTTAGCCTTACCTTACCGAACCTTTAGACGTATCTTCCGTTCATCCTTCCATTCCATAGCTTTGATTCACATTCTCATTCGTGCACGTTAAGGAGAATCTGGCTGTGGTTTTAATAATACCGCGAAATTCATCGTGACAGAAAAGAACAATGGAAGTCGTCGATGTATCGTAGCCTGGCTCGACCATGTTTTCTTTGTATAAAAATTTCTATGTACTCGGAATGACGCGAAAATTAATATAATCCAACGTCTCGACGATTGAAGAAAAAAGAAACGATAGAAACTTTCCACTGTGTGAAGCGATGCGGCAATTTTTATACGACTTTCAAATTTTTTTTTCCCCTTCATTATTTTTGCGTCGCCCTGTATTTTGAAGAAAGAGGTCGTATCGCATGACGGCACGTGTCGCGCAATCTGGGAAATCAGCGACGTAACTTTAATACGTTCCCGACTAACTAAGCAGGGAACGCGTTCGAACGTCATCGATGCATACGAATGCATACGAGAACATTGCACGCCAAGTCCTCTTGGAGAGCACTTTAACCACCGTTGTGGTCAGCAACGATGACAGCATCAATGTTACATGCAGGAGAGAGAGAGATAGGGAAGGGAGAGAGTAAAAAATGAGAACCGATGGAATGGAACGAAATGCAAGTTGGGGGGGGAAAAAAAAAAAAATTATTCCGTAAGATGATGCAAACGAAGATTCGCTTTCCAATTTGACATGTATCGAACCTTCCTCACTCGTACACTCCTTTGATTATTCCACGTTTTCTCCCGTGGGATTTCTAACCGGTTTCTAAACTCGTACGACCCGTTCGATTTTTTTTTTTTTTTTTTATGTTTCCTTTTATCCGCCGATTTGTTGAACTAGGTGAAAATCGTACGAGCCTTGGCTAAGAATCAGGACTCGAAATTTTATATAGAACGTTTTCTCGCGTGACTATATTTCGTTGACGCGTGAAACGTTTCTTTATCGTTTTATTTTTCTGCGGTTTACATGTGAAACGATACATGCGGAAAATTGATAACTATTAATTCGCTGCAAAGGACACACGCTAACATTTTTTTTTCCACGACAGGAAATATAATTAACGCGATTGTCGATCCATCGCAGACGATAAACAGCGTCGTTTGATATTTCGTGGTTCGCGTATATTCGAGTTGGTATACCTACTCGGTGAATGACGCACATGCTATTGTACGTGATATCGTTTGCTTGATCAATAAAATATAAATATCGCGTGTTTGTACATGTATGTATATATATATATATATATGTATCCGAAACGCATCGGCTTCGTCGTTGGAAAAATGAAATTTCATGAAATTTCGAATCATGTTTATTCCCGCGCTCCTTTTCTTTTTTTTTTTTTCCAACGTCACGCCGATGAATCATGTTGTTACACCTAGAAGACTCGTGTTGCGTCTTCTTGATGTACCGGTTAAATAATCTGGCGCAACGCGCGATTTGTCGGAGCAAGTGTGAAACATTGGCTTGGAAGCATCGCCGATGCGGTAATGTTGCGATACCACGCGTTGCGTATGTATACACTCGATCTCTTGATATCATTTTACCAACTACGCATATCAGAATTGAATTCACCGAGAACCGATTCACCAAACTTGTGAAACCGCGTGTACTTGCAAATATCGCGATTTAAATGACCGATGAAAACGTATATATATATATATATATATATATATATATATGTGTGTGTGTGTTTATATACATATATACGTTGGCGAAACGATAATTATATATGAGAGTTGTTAAACCGATTCTCGAAGAATTCAGCAATAGGGGAAACGTTCGATTGGAACGTTTATATAAATTTCGAAGGAACGGAGAGGTTGACGTCTCACGATGAATAGTTTACCCGATGAAAAGAAGGGACGTGAAAGAAGAAAACGGGGCGAGCTTCGAGCTGAATCGAAACTCCCCTCTTCGGTACTTTCATTTAACGATCCGTAGACCGGGCGCGAGTGACGATGCGGACGAAAATGCATCGAGACGCCCGCACTCTTGAGCTGCACTGTCACCATCGCACGTGCAGTATACCTGCATCTAGGATCCCGCAATCTGCGGACGATGCTTCCCTCCATCCCCACCGCTTACTCCTGGTTACGTCACTGACCTCCAGTTAGGTGAGGTCGGGAACAGTGCAGCAGAGTTCAGGTCACGACGGAACATAACGACTCGTCTCTGTTTCCGATTCCAATCTTTTCCCTGCCTCTCCATCGGGATTTACTTACTTTTTCGCGCCAAACTTTGCGATTCCGGCCAACTCGCCGGTCGAAAGAGAGAAGCCGGTATCGATACTTCTAGTTCCCTTCTAGAAAACTAACTCAATTTTTGACTATTGACAGTGCACAGAGTCTTGTCATATCTTTGGTACACTCTGCTGTAATAAAAAATGGAAATTATAATCTTCGTAAAAAGATGTAAAGGTACAAAAGAAGACTGGCCTCTCGAAACAACGAAAGGTATATACACACGTTTTTTTATTCCATTAATAAAAAAAAAAAAAAAAAAAAAAAAAAAAAAAGGTGCATGTGCAGTGTATCAAGCCGGTTGATCAACTGTACACGATAATATATATGCTAATTTTAAGCGGATCCCTGTAGTTCGTTAGTGTAATTAATACGATCGTTTCGCATTCGTATCTTTCACTGCACAAAGCACCACCAAGCTCTTGGGAGTTTCGTGTCAGCACGCGCCACGTTTGAAAACGTGTTCACTGACCCCGTGGACTTACGACCCGTTTTCTCATATTGTTTCAGATCGCTCCCTCGGCAAAAAAGCTTTGGGGCGTGGACGAGGGCGGCTCCAAGGACGAAGGGGGTGTAAAAGGTGGTGGGATACTTCACCTGGGCGACCACCAGATGTGGCGAGACTCCACCTGGAGCACCTCAGGTACGTTTCCTCACCACGTTTCCAATGATGTTTGCAACGAACAAAACTTTCAAGAGCGCGCCCTCTATATCTCTATATCGTATTTACGCGTTTCATAATTATATTGCAGTTTCTATTACTTTCATTGAAACACACGCGGAAACGCGCTCGGCTCATTGACTAACCGCAGCGAGTACACACTATCGGCGTGCTATCGAGCGTACTGACACGTATCAATGACAATAGGGCTGAGAATATTTGGAATAGGGGGTTTCGAGATGGGGATAATCCATGAACGGGGTTAATCGGAATCGATAATTCATGGATGGCAGACATTAACGCCTGACCATTCTACGTACGTACACCCGTTGCATCCGTACCTTATCTTTCCTACGTGCGTTTGAAAAAAATTAGAGATGACCCTTGTCGTGTTTATTAATTATTGCCCATTAACAGCTTAACGCTATCTCTTCGTTTTTTTCGTTCATCTCAAGTTCAATGTTTCGATGAAGTTTACACTGATCTGACCCAGTCGGCTCGTACGTACGACCGGACGCTTTCAATCTTTTGCCGCCTTTATGCGTTCCGATCCAACCGATCATACCACCGTTAAAGCCCTTTAAATCCCTCGAAATATCCCGATTTCACTCCGCGTTCTTGTGACGCGGATTTAAACGCGAGCTCTAAATCGATATCCATTCGGTCGATATCATTCACGATTGATCGTTACATAATAAGTCAATCGACTTGTGCGCGCTAATTTCCTCTCGAAAAAGAAAGCCGCGTGTCGTTAAAAAAGAAACGAGATCGCGTTGCGTGAGTCAGCCAACCGATGGAACACGATGCGTTACTTGTTTGAGAAATATTTATTCGCGATAAAATTTTATTTATCGGTGATTTTCGGAATTATATCTTTGTATAAATATATATATTTCTTTTTTCGCGAAAATTTCAATTCTCTCTTCGTACGGATCACTCTGGATCTTAATTTTTGTACCCGAGTGTCACTTTCTCGAGACGTATTGATAGCAATTTAAAAGATATTGAGCTTATTAGTTCAGGTATTCGAGCATTGGCTTCTCTCTAACTGTATTTAATAAGAGCAACGACATCGTTGAGCTGGTTTCTTTATCTTCAATATTACGAGATGCAAAAGAAGGTGTGTGATAATTTGAAAAAATTTATTTCGTTTATTTCGGTATAAGCTCTATTTTTTAACGCAATGATGTATTGGATATATTGCGTAAATAGCTATTATTTAGAACCGTGACATATTAAAAAAAAAAAGAAAAATAACGAGCCGATTCCGATTAACACCGTATCCTTTTGTCGTTCGGAGCAAAACGCGCGCGCCTTGTCGGCGATCTTCGAAGGTCCTCGACGGGTGACGTAGAATTCTCTGAACGTGTTCGATACGTGTTTCAATCCCCGGTAAAATTAGAGAGAAAGATGAATCATATAAAAAGTTTGACTTACAATCATACACTATATCACATTCCTTGGTTGGAGGATGCAACGAAATGCGAGAGCGATACCGTGTGTTTTACGTCGTGCGCGCTTATTGATTGGTACAGCGCCGAAAGAACAATATATAGAGACGAAAGTAGAAATACTTGTGTCTCCGCAGCTTCGAGCGGAATGTCAATAATCGATACTCTACCAAAACAGATCTCTCCTAACTGTTTGCTTTTACGAAAACCAAGGAAATCTACAAAGTCCATCCCTCTTCTCTCTCTTTCTCTCTCTTTCTCTCTTTCTCTTTCCCCCTTGCTTTTACGATCAATCGATATCACCCAGGCTTCTGGTATTTTCGAGCCTGGTGTTACGAACTTCTCTATCTCTTTAACCCCCCCAGAATCGTTTTAAAGTTCTCGTTACAGTCTAATCCAGACGAGTCCGTCTTTCTCCGCTCGGCTAGTATTTAGATTTCTTCCTGCTTATTTTATAGCCGTTTCGTGTCGTTGGAGAAATCGTCAGAATTTCTCGTCAATTAAACGGATTACCGTGGTAATTGGTAGAAGCGCGGATGGTAAGGAGAAATGGAGTGAGAGGTTGGAAAGGTTGCGCGGGGTTCTTTCTCATTAAACGGAGCCTTAAGTCGTACAGGGTTGTTGCGCGAGGGCGATGGTACCGCGGCAGTGTTCTGTGTATGCAATGTATGCACGAAACACCTGATTCTCGCGACGGCATGTACCGGCTTCCATGTGCACGCGGCCCGAGTTTGCATGTGT